TCACATTTTTGCAATTCTATTACTGTTTTGCTTGATAGTCTCAGATCTGCTTCTGTATTCAACGTGTTGTAGGATGTGGTTTTCCTTAAAGCATATAAAGAAAATCTGGCCTCAGAGGTATGCAGATGGAAAGGGGAGAAACATTCCAATAGCCTCTTCAGATAACTGTGTATGTTCTTCTGTTACCACCCAATCTTGGCAAATGGTAATTTCTACAAGGTTAGCTGCAATGTGGAATCTAACACTGAATCAATGATCTATTACATTAAAATCCACCCATCATTTAGAAAATATTGGTTGATTCAGCTGTGAAGATCTTTCAAACGTCAACACATTTCATTCTACAATATTAAAAAGCCATTCATTCATACCATTCACTAATCTCTTAAGAAGTCTCTACTGTGAAGTTGCCAAGCTACCGATAACTAGTTTTTCCAAACTCTTTAATTTTTTGCTTGAGAGCTTTAATCTTATGTTGCCAGTTGTTTTCCTGGAGGCAATAGCCTCATCTCATTCATCTTTGAGGAAATGTTAACCACAAACACAAGCTGCAATAACCAGTTTGTCACTTGTTCTTTCAAGTAAAAATAGTGTTCCATGAAAAACAGTGGACAATTCAGCTTACAACTCAATCACCCAAGTATTTTTCCTTGAGACAATGGTTACACTTCATTCACAGTATGCAGAAGTGCTTTATGTAGCATTTCCTACTTTGTCACATGCAATATTAAAAACGCATGTACTCTGGGGCACCTGGGTGGTTCAGTTGGTTAAGCGTCCGACTTCAGCTCAGGTCATGATCTCACAGTTTGTGAGTTCAAGTCCCGCGTCGGGCTCTGTGCTGACAGCTCAGAGCCTGGAGCCTGCTTCAGATTCTGTGTCTCCCTGTCTCTCTCTGCCCCTCCCCTAACTCACACTCTCTCTCAAAAATAAATAAACATTAAAAAAATTAAAAAAAAAATAAAGACGTACTCTAGGGCTGGATTCAATGAAATTAATAATTTTTACTGCTTCTCAGGGGCACTCTTAAGTAAAATTGGCTTTTTAAAAAGACTGAGTTTCTATACTTTTTCAAGTTAACAAAATTCCAATTATTCTTAGATTTCTAAAGTATTTTAAGTCATAAATATGCATGGATTTTTATTAAATTTGCAAAAACCCAACTATATTTCAATACCTGACTCTCCAGGGGATCAGCAATGGGACTTTACTCAGATTTTGTCCCCACTTTTTGATCTGCCGTTATCAAGTTGTGAATCAGACAAAGCCTGGATTGGAACAGAAGTGACCAGTTTTTAAAAAGTGAGCAGGTGGGGGGCGGGGGGAAGTGAGCAAGTTCACCAGAGGATATCTGTTTCACCCAAGTGTCTGCAGAGTACAAAATAAGGTCCAACCTGTTGAATGTGATTTTGGCAATTTGAGGTGATTCTGGATGACTGATCTACCTTTTGAAAACATCTTCTGCACAGGTTAACAAACTCACACAAAATGCAACCCCATTGTTAGTCTGAACGTTTTAACAGCCAAAAACACAAAAATAAAATACAAAGTATACATTATTCTCATATCACAGTTGGTTTTCAGAAAAGAATCTTCATGAATGTAACTTTAAATAGTTTAGAGAAAGTCATAGGGGCACCTGGGTGGCTCAGGTGGTTAAGCCTTAGACTTCACTCAGGTCATGATCTCACAGTTTGTGGCTTCGAGCCCCATGTCAGGCTCAGTGCTGACAGCTCAGAGCCTGGAGCTTGCTTCAAATGAACTCTGTCTCCCTCTCTCTTTGCCCCTCCCCCACTCATGCACTCACTCACTCTCAAAAAATAAACACATAAAAAATTTTAAAAATTGAATTTCCTTTAAAAAAAAGTCATAAACAGGGGTGCTTGGGGGGCTCAGTGGGTTAAGCATCCTGCTCTTGATTTCCTCTCAGGTCATGACCTCATGGTTCATGAGATAGAGCCCCCAAGTTCAGCTCTGCAAAGACAATGTGGAATCTGCTTGGATTTCTTTCTGCCCCTCCGCTGCTCACATTCTCTACTCTCTCAAAAGAAACACGTAAACTTAAAAACAAAAAAAAAGTCATAAACCGTTCAAAAAGAAGCAATTGAATACTATTGAAAGTTATTTCATATTTTATTTTCTAATTGCATTAGTTTGCGTCCAATTGTTTTTACATAATTCCAAATGACCGGAAAGTAAACCTTTTAATCAGTACTAATTAGCTGTCATGAATCTACATAGTAAAAGAACTCATTAGACTTAAGAATAAAATATGACCAGAGCTATCAATAGCTATAAACTTTCAATGAAGAAATACAGAGTAGTTGGTATTTTGCAAAAACATCTTTAAGCAATTTAGAGACTTCCTATCTGTTAGCCTTATGCTGAATTAAATGATGGTAACAATTATTTTAAATATTGTATTGACATGAATATATATATATATATGCACATATATATATATATATATTCTACAAGTTTTTTTTTATTATAGTAACCAAAGACTGCAAGTGAAAGAAATGACAAATAGAAAATATAAAGACGTGCATGTTCAATTTTATACGGTCCTGGATACCACGTGAAAAGCGGCAGACACTGCTCTAGGTGCATTACACATATGGACACATAATCAACCCTTCCACCAATTCTGCCGGTACTTTTATCATCCCAATCTTACAGGTGAGGAGCCTGAAACTCCTACAAGTGAGAGAAGGTGCCCATGGTCACTTGCAGGTAAAGGGCAACGTGAAGGGTGGGGGAAAAGGCCTCCTGACCCCAAGGCCCAAGCTCTTCACTCTCCATCACACTGCCTAAATACCTGGCAGCTGGGGGGAAGAGAGGACCCAGTCCAATACTCTCCAAATTCCTTGGTTCTCTCTGTACCTAAGAAGCTTGTGTCTTAATGCATCTGTAGTGAGACTTAAGATTTTGTCCTTTTCTGAGTAGGAAGAAATAAGCAAGGATAAAAAAAAAAAAAAAATGACAGTTTAAGGTAAATCAACAACACAACATGGTGTGTAAAAGTTCATGGGAGTCCAAACAGTATAAATGAAACTTCTTCTTGCTAAGCAGGATAAAGATCTAAGCATTTCCTACCAACACAAATCTTTTTAATCATTATGACAGGTAAACATAAAGAACTCACTTTCATTCTGATACTTTAACTGTAAAGTTATAGTTAATATTGTATATTTTAAAATCTGTAAACAACAGAAATAAAGTATAAATCCACCTAGGTATTTTTATTTCAAACATGCTTTTACCTATTTGATTACTCAGTTGCTCTGAAGTCAATACTGACAGCAGTTTCTATCTACTAAAGATGTTATTCACCATCCTATAATTTAATATTTACACAAGATACATGAGATTAAGTTAAACTACAAGTCACAAGTTTTGTAACCAACTATATTCACAGCCATGATTATTCTGTAGATGTGGTGAGTAAACCAATGGCCAATCCTTAATAAAATACAAGAGTTTTCATCATGCATAGTTCACAGGCACCTTAAAAGGTGGCCTCTTAAGAGGCTGGATGTTCAAAAAAGATTCAACAGTCAAGCAATTAAATCCTGGCAAATCTTTTTTCACACAAATGCTTGGTTTGGTTATTGAGCCATTTTAGTAATACAACTTATTTGTGCTCTAACTGGAAGTAGAATAAACACTGCATGAAAAATGCAAGCCCATAAAATTCATTAGTAATACCTAATACCCTCTTAGCAGGAAGAATCATTATTCTTGGATTTCAAACATTTTATTTTCTTTTAGGGCATACCCTATAGCATTGTGTTATGGGAATCAAGGAGTATAACCAAAAAACACAAAACACAAACCAAAAACCAACTAAACAAAAAAACTCAACAACATACACACAGATGCTAAGAAACTAAGGACCACTCCCATTCCTCATTTGAAATAAATCAGTAAATCTATACAAATATCACATTAAAGACAAGTTAGTAAAACACTTCTGCCAAGCAGTGTTGCATATGACCTACAACTTTACCAACCACTTAATAATCATTAGGGTATGAGATTTTCCAGGATGCAATGGCACTAGATTGAGCTGTTATTACCTAGGCAAGGAAAAAAAAAATCACTAAAAAAACACATGAATGGTGGCCATAGTTGTAATTCAAGAAACTTGAGACAAATCATATTTGCTAGAGGAGGTAAGCAGAAAAAATGTGAGTTGTACCATCCCTACCATGAACTACCACAGAGGCAGAGTTACTACATTCTTGGTAAAATAACACAGAAGGATCTATATATACCACAAATTTAGCAAAACACTTTTTTGTACAGAGGCCTAAATATCTTTGGAAGTTTAGGTTTTGATGAAGACAATCACTAAGTCAATTCTTCAAGGCTAGTTTCTTTAAGTATTAAAAACCAGCCCATGGTCTCAGATGCATTCCATCTGGGTAAGTGTTCAGAACTCCAAAGAATAAGAAACATGAATCGCAACTATCCACTCATTTCTATTCTTTGATTTAATGTTTTCTAGTACCTCAGATTTTGATTCCAGTGCTTGCACACTTAGGAATAAGCATGAGATTGGAGAAGATACACTTATTTTTTTGAAGCCACATGAAGGTTTCTCTCCCTTGGTAGAACTTTTCATCATTGAAAACATCTCTGGAGACCAGGAGAATAAACGTTTCACAGCCTAAATGATGGGTCTCTTCTTGTGAAGTTGCAGAAGATTTCAATGTAGCTAGCCAATAAATAGCCCAGCCCTTAATTTCATCTTAGTCAAGTTGAGAACAAAAAAACTAAATAAGAGAAAATCCAAATTCCCAATAATATACAAGAAAACAAATCTTTACACACAATAAAATACATCCTAAACACAAAGTAAGGGTATAATACACTCTGCAGCATGACATTGTCTTTATTGTATTTCTCAGCTGTAGCTCTTCCATTCAGAAATGAGAAACCATCTTTTCAATAAATTGTTATTCGCTCCCTTTTTTTTTTTTTTTTTACCAGCTTAGGGATGGTTTGAAAAAAGCTTAATTATACAGTTGTTAGGAAATTAAATTTTCATTTATACATACTTTAAGTGTTTACAAAGCACTCAAAATTGCAGCTTATGTATATGACTTCTGAAATAAAATGACACTTTTAACAATAGTTTTGTTCTTTAAAAATTTTCTACATACATGCACATGATCAAAACAATCTTTTCTTGTTTGGGAAATTTCCTAAGCATAGTAAGAAAAAAAAATGGACAACTATAGCAATATTTCAATGTTAAGATGACTAGGTGCCACCTACTGTTTGATTCCTGTAACTACTAACCTTACAAATTAAAAACTGCTATTAAAACCCAGGTCCTAAAACCTGCATTTTGTAAATGCTTTTTTGTTGATATGTTTATAGTGGCAAAATAAGGTTATGAAAGAACGTAAGTGATATCAAAATTAGTACAAAAATAGCCACATGCTACTTAAATATGAAAAACTGACCTAATCATTTTTTAATTCAAATGCAGATTTCTGTCTCTTTTAAATTGTATCAAAATCTCAAGGGAACATCTAAGTAACTGGAATATACAGAAAGTCAATGTACGGTCAACAGGCTAGTCAAAGTTAGGGCTTAATCATGATCCATAATGAATGTATGGTAAATGGTTTATTTGGAACATTCATTTACTAACTGGAAGTGGTCAAAGTAGGAAAGGCAGTAATGCATTTTTCTCCTCTTTTTAAAAAATAGTAGATGTAGTCTTTTACCTATAAGCTCCAATACATCAAAAGAACAAAGGGGGCTTAACATTTCATGTAAGAGAATTCGGCATTACTGGTTTTTCAAGAAATACCTTAGAAACAAATCAGTCTGCCTTAACAAATTGCACTCATGCTAATAAATTTTTATCTTCTTTAACAGGTCACAGCCAAAATCCAAATTGTTGGAACAATCCTCAGAGAAATTGGAATGTAAAATGTTGAATTCAATTTAGATCTGGAAGGGAAAAGAACATCAGATCAAATGAAAGAATTCTTATATTCCAGAAGTCTACCACATAAGGGAGCCCTGCACCCCCTAAGGATATCTTTGAAGAGGAAATTCTCTACACCAGGTTTTTCTCAATTATAGTTTGCTGCCAGTAAATCTTTACAACTTCCTTCAGAATGTTATGCTATACAAGATGTTTTAAAAAAAAAATTTTTTTAAATGTGTATTTATTTTTGATACAGAGTGTGAGCAGGGTAGGGACAGAGAGAGAGACAGAATGTGAAGCAGGCTCCAGGGTCTGAGCTGTCAGCACCGAGCCCGACGTGGGGCTCGAACCCACAAACTGCAAGATCATGACCTGAATTAAGTCGGATGCTTAACCAACTGAGCCACCCAGGCACCCCGTATACAAAATATTTTTAATAATATTCTTAATAAAGTTTAGTGTCTCTCTTTTGTGCTGGTGATGAGAGATTTTTTTTATTCTGGGGGGGAGCAGATATGCAGGAGTACTATTTCTTTCTTTTAATGTTTATTTATTTTTGAGAGACAGCGTGAGCGGGGAAGGGGCAGAGAGAGAGAGAGAGGGAAACACAGA